TTGAGACCCCTATTTTAGATGTTTATTTATTAATATTCACGATTATCTCATTTTTTATAAAAAGAATGTAAATATTTATACTTTCCCTCATCATTTTCGATGTATGCAGATGTATGCGAGATCGAATTTCAAAATAACTTAATATTACATTTTCGGTTTCGGCTTCGGTTTCGGCCGAAATTCATTTTTAATATTCGGCCTTTTTTCGGTTTCGGCCGAAAGTCATTTTTAAACCTTCGGCCTTTTTTCGGTTTCGGCCGAAAGTCATTTTAAACTTTCTGCCTATTTTCGGCTTCGGCCGAAATCAGAAAATCACTTTCGGTCGGTCTCTATTTAGGAGTAAAGAGAAGTGTGAAATAAGAATTATTTTTCTCAAGAGTTGGATATTCTTGCCCTAAAATGATCACATAGTGTGAATATTACCCTTGAATAAACTGCTGATGTTCCTAGACTTCCCATTCCATAAATGAAGAATCCATTGGAACTAATTTGTTTCTTTGTACCCTCTAATGCAGGCCAGGCACTTGTCCCATCAAAATGGAGGTCTTTTCCAGACTCATAACATATGCCATTCATAAACTGTAAGGCCTGAGCATCATAGAAAGTTTGGTCCACCCATCTTGGAGCACATATCTAAAATTTAAAAATACAAATATTGAAAGAGCACTGGTGACTCCAGGAAGAGGAGTGAATGAAGCATCTACCCACTCTGCCCTGAGTGCATGGGTACATGTTATATTCCAATAGGGGTGTGCCGGATCCGTTTTTTCCAACCGGATCCGGATTTTCTTATGCGAAATCCGCCGGATCCGGATTCCGGTTTCTCCCGGATTCCGGATTTTGGTACTATTGGTAGATACTTCGGTAAGTCAAGGTGGACTACTACTTTTTGTGTATGGGAATTCGCAATCGGCGCCAAAAAATCCGAGTTTTTAATTTTCCGATGTGTGTGTCTATTTATTATTAAATTAGTACTTTCGATATATATTTGAGTTCCGTTCCATTTGGATAAGTGTCTTACGAGAGACGCCATGTTTCTACGCGTTCGCAGCAGGTTATGCAGCTCGCTCAACCTAATTTCGCCATGGGGTTGGCCACGCCCCCCTTTTTAATGGCGGAAGTTGACGATACTTAGGAAATATTAATTTATTATCACTATTTACATCAAAATAATTGATAACTTGTGTTTCAGAATGCATTTAAAGACATTTAAACTGGAATGTTTTAATTTGAGCTTTAACAACCCGGTAGAATCCATATTATAAATGATCAGAATTTACCGTGTGCAACACGTTGTCATTGGCAACCATTCACAGCCACTTGCATAACTGTATCGTAGTACTACCTCAGAGTTTCATTCATAAGAGTTTGCCGTGTGCAAAAACTATTAAACCATTGGTCAGGGAAAGCTTTAATTAATTATTCATGTGCCAAAGTTGAAAGTTTAAACTAAGTCTAAACAGTATTTTAGTGATAAGGCAGGGAATGCGTTGCCTTATATAAACTATATAGTCATTGCGCATGACGGGATTGGCGGAATGAGATCACAGAATGTGGAGATGCAGTCCATGTTAAAAAATGACAAACCAAGTCGTACTTTAAAAATTCATAACTTTAAAACTACAACAGCTAAATATATGATTTTGGTGTTATAATTATTTAAAAAATTACATCTTTTCAACAATGCCATTGGTTTATTTTTACAAAAAGTTTAAATTTTCTAATCAAAGTCCCTACACTATTGGCCACTATTAGCGGTGCTGACTCTAGCCTCTGGTATGTACGGAATATTAAACATTAAACAAGCTCAACGCTCGAAACAATCGATTAATGTATCGTGATCGTGTGGAATTCGGGAAAGAGAATTACTTTTATTTCAGATTATGATCCGGTGAGTCACAAAATCTGGCAAATTCCGAAATCCGGTATATTCCGGATTCCGGAATCCGGTTGTTCCGGATACATGTAAATCCGGCGGAACCGGATCTCACCGGATAGTGCAAAATCCGGCGGAACCGGATTCCGGACCGGAATCCGGCACACCCCTATATTCCAATATATGAAATTATGGCACTTTATAATACCTTACATAAATTGACTTTGATTTTTGCCAAGCATTTGAAACAAGTTATTTTATATGGGCCTACATTAAATACTTCATATTATTTTTCAAAGCAGGTATAAAAACCAAAGAAAATTCTAATACACCTTATACTTATATACAACTTGTACATTAATTATTACCATAACTTTTGAATTCCCATGGATATTAACATCTATAGATGCTCCAAGCCATTGATTATCCTTTTTATGTATGAGAGTAATATTTCTCCATCTCATAAGGGTTTGCCTCTCATTCCCTGAAGACAGTAAAGAAAACAATTTGGTGCAAAAAATTAATGAACAACAAGAGCATTATTTCAACACAATTTTTCTTACATTACTAATGTAACTTAACTGGTATGATAACAGCCATTTTGCTTAGAACTATGTTTTGTATTAGAATTTCTGAATTTAACAAGCTATGTTTCGCCTGGTCAGTGTCCACTGACTTTTTTTTATATTTAGGGATTCCTCCTTCTCCTACTGAATTAAAGTTGCTTTCCTGTAATGACTGATGCAGTTCTACCCAGCTATTTCTACATAGATTGGAGACAGCTCTCTCGGTTGCAAGCCAGAAAACAATACCCCCAAGGCCACCTTCAACAGTGTCAACACTGTTTAAAAATTGACAACATAAATTTTTCAGTGTTCAACAAAATAATCACTACCATTATATTATGTAGCCCATTCTCATCCTGTAACAAAATGTATCGAAGTTAACACTTCCATGATTGCCTACAAATTTTAGATGGTAAAATAATATTATTTTAGGGTCATCCATAAATGACGTCATGCATTGGGGGGGGGGGGAATGTTGACATTTTTTTACAATGTGGGATGAGGGGGAGAAAGGAGGCTTAAGCAATGTGATGTCACAGGAAAGGCAGATTATTATAGTAAAAAATTGCACNCGCCTAAAAAGGGGTGGTCTATGGGGGGGGGGGGGGAATGTTGACATTTTTTTACAATGTGTGATGAGGGGGAGAAAGGAGGCTTAAGCAATGTGATGTCACAGGAAAAGCAGATTATTATAGTAAAAAATTGCACCAAATAACCTTAAATTACATACATTTTTAACATTATTCTTTTAAACAAAAATTATAATAATTATATTTTTAAACTACAATCACTGAGAGAATCAGTCCATCCGAGTTTAGAGAAATGGCCTCTGATCAAGTTACAGACCGCCACAGAGGAGGAGAAAATGGGTGTAGTGACATTGACAGTCAAGAGAATTTATGTCAAAATGTGGAGACGGGAGTCATAGAATTAGGACTAACACATGAAGTGGGATGGAAAAAAAAACGGTTGACCCGGGGAAGGGGTGATCTCAGTAAATGCTCTAGGGCAGGGATTCTTAACCTTTTTGCAACGTGGCAGGCCCACTCCATTTAAAACATCCCCCCCCCCCAACCATATAAATTATATTGTAATAAAAATTAAAATATGAAAATAATTAAATAATTTAGTTATGCTATTTTGGTTTCTTTAATTAACTTTTTATAAACAAGGAAAAAAAATTACCAATACTGTACAAGTAATACCCAACAAAATTCTGAGGGCTGATGCACTGCCACATTGATGGGCACAAAGTTCCAAAAGAAAAAAAGTGGTACCAATAAATTAAAAGATACCATTACCATTCTCCCCCCAACAGTCCATTTTCAATTATTGCATACAGTTTTTCACAGTAATCACACTGTAGGCCTAAATAAATAGACATTAGAGAGTGAAGGCGTAGGGATTTAACTTTCCCTCCTTTAAGAACTTAATTGTTAAATTAATAATTAATATTAAGGCCATTTAAGGTTACCTTAATCAGTAATCATCATATAATTTAACTTAAATAACTACTTAATGAATGCCTATTTAGCCTAATTACTATCATTAAGTATTATCAGCAGTCTGATTTCTTACCTATATTATCAATTTGAATGGTTTGACAGCTGCTTGGAAACCTCCAATTACACTGGAATACAGCACCGGGCTCTTGAACACCAGGGAGAAATGAATCATTTGCTCGCGGGGCACCAGCCAGCACCCTGTAAAATAAACTGTGTCTATACTCGCTATACTATTTCAAGTATTTCGCTCTCAAATAAACACGGCGCCGGTGGCTTTCCAATGACAACACAATGACTGACAATGTCATGTAATCAGTGAATGAAATGGTCCATGTCCATGCATGGCCATGGCATGGCATGGGACATGGGATTTTTTTGTGTGTTTGATTGACTCAGATTGACTGTTTTGCATTTTACTTTTCTAACTTTTGGAACATAACATGAAGTATGATGAAGTTGAAGGCAAGTTAAGTTACCGCATATGTCATATGAAATTAATAATTAATTAATGAAATCGAAACTAGCGCGTTTATACTTTTAAAATTAAAAGTAAAAGTCTAGAAAAAGTGAAACGACAGTTGTACAATTCAATAGTTATGCCTTGCTACAGTTTGTTTTCAAATAATGTTTTGTTCTGTTAGCTTAATACATAAAATCTTATCCAGTTTTTTAAATTTTACAAGAGCTCTTCTGTTAATAAAGTATAACTATATAATATAGTAATGGAGTCACACACGGCGAATACTGTGTTTCAGTCTTCAGTGTATCGCAGCCGCTAACAGCGTAAAAGAACAGTGGGTGTAATCTACACACACAAAAAAATGTCTAACAAATATATGCACCTCAAAAACACTTTCAGGAAAACGTTTTATATTTCCAATTCTCAAGCGGTGAAATGGTATCCAGGTCATATGCAAAAAGGTTTATTTCAAATCCAAGCCAAGTTGCAAAAGGTGGATTGTATTATTGAAATTCATGATGCTAGAGTTCCATTTTCGGGAAGAAATAATCGATTCAGAGATATAATTAAGATGAGGCCACATATTTTATTATTAAATAAAATTGATCTCACCGACCTTCAAGACAATAATAAAAAAAGAGAGAAAATAATGACACAATTACAAAAAGATGGAGTTGATACTACCTATTTCACAAACTTGAGGAATAACCAAAATGAACATTTTTTACAAAGTACAATTTTACCTTCTGCTAAAGAACTAATTGGACAGAGACCAAGATATAATAGAGAGGGAGCTGAGGATTTCAATTTTCTTGTTATTGGATTACCTAATGTTGGTAAATCAACGTTTATCAATTCACTACGTTCAACTCAGTTGACGACTAAAGGAAAGGCTACAACTGTTGGAGCCATTGCTGGTATTACAAGAAGTGTTTTAAATAAAATAAAAGTTAGTACCCATCCTAATGTTTATATTATTGATACCCCAGGTATAATGCCTCCAAAAGTAGAGAATATAGAAACAGGAATGAAACTTGCTGCCTGCTCCTCTGTACCAGATCATATTATTGGAGAAGTACATATTGCTGATTATATTTTATATTGGCTAAATAAACATGAACATTTTAGTTATGTGGACTACTTTCAACTTGATGCGCCAATAGATAATGTGTTACAGGTGTTAGCAAATATTGCTGTTAAAAATAGAAAAGTTTCTCATATTAAGGATATGTCAACTAACCAGCTTGTTTATCGTCCTAACATCCAAATGGCTGCCACCATGTTTATCAAAGCTTTTCGGGAAGGACACTTGGGAAGGTTTACTTTGGATACAATAATTTAATCCCTTTACAATGTCAATACTGTTGTAACATATTGTTTTCAGAATTTCTTCATTTATTTATGCACTTGTTAAATTTTAAAAAATGTAATGCCACATGAAGATACATGAAATAAAATACTAGCTATTTACCGGTACTTTTTATTAGTAGTTTATGTTCACTTTAGTCACTATAGACCCATCACCTATGCACCTGCAAAGATGAAGCGACATCTAAGGCAAGTCTGAAACCTGGATACCTACACACCCTAATAAAATATTGTACTGGGCATTTATATATGTAATTGTTTTTATGCCTCAGTTTTTTGGTTTATATTTGAGTGTAACGGTATTGGAAAAGTTAAAATCTTATGACATTGTCCTAAGTTTCTTGAATCTTTAGTTAAAGACTTGGACTTGGTACTATGATGATTGTGTCGATGCCCTATATATTTGGCGTTTCTCAGCTGAATGAACAAGTTTTCCTGATTAGGAATTGGTTCTGCATGAAACCAGTTTATTCCAGTTTTTTCTATAATCAATGTAGAACTGAGTGGATCCATCTTTTTTTCTTCATTAATAAAATAGCTGAGGAAATGGAGAGGATGACTTTTCTATAATGCCTTCTTTTTCCATCTGACAAACTTTCTTTATGATTGTCTTTTTGGATAAAAATATTATAGGGTATGGTCTAAGACTGTATCGAAAGAAATTTCATAGAAGGAAAATTGATTGACGGAAATTCGATGGAACGGAAATTTGGTAGAATCATTTTTTCAGTTCACACATTAAAATTTTGCTTCAAATTTCTTTTTGAACGCATTATTTTGTTTTACTATAGTATAGTGCGTTCAAAAAGAAATTTGATGCAAATTTTAGGGTGTGAACTGAAAAAAATTATTCGATCAATTTCCGTAGAAGAATTTCTTTCGATCAAATTTCCGGTAACTGTCCAAGACAGATGGGTTTGTTTGTGGTTACCTCAATGGAATGAGTAATTAGCGATTTTTTTTACCCGGTATGTTGGTAATTGTGTCTGTGTATTTATGTAATATATATTCTGTCTCTACTTTTTGTCTTTCATACTAAGTGAGGTCTGGATTGATCCTTACATCTTTAATAGTCTCAGTTATCTCTATGGTTTGGGTAGTCACTGCATTTATACTACTATGATGACGGCATCAAGAGTCATCAACATCCATCCATCCATCCCTGTGGCGCTACAGCCCATGTAGGGCTTTGGCCTGCCTCACCACTTCCTTCCACTCAGACCTAACTAATGCATTTTTTTTCCATGCTTGGACTTTCAGCTGCTGTAGATCTTTTTCCACATCATCCATCCACCTAAGCCTAGGTCTGCCTTTGAGCCTTTTTCCTCTGGGGTATTGGTGATGCACCCTCTTCGTTCCTCTGTCATTTGGCATTCTCTCTAAGTGTCCTGCCCAGCGTAGCCTGCCTCTTTTTATTTCTGCTACTATCGTGGGATCCTGATAGAGACTGTATAATTCATGGTTGGTTCGTATTCTCCATCCATATTCATCCTTTGTTGGCCCATATATTTTCATGAGAACTTTCCTCTCCCATGTGTTTAATAGGTTTTCTGCGTTTTTGTTAGGGTCCAAGTTTCACTTGCATATGTTACAACTGGTCTGATTACAGTTTTATAGTTTTCTTTGTTTCTCTTGTAATGTTTTTACTTTTGAGTATTTTCTGACTACTGAAGTATGCCCTGTTTCCAGCTTATATTCTTTCTTTTATTTCTGTTAGTAATTCATTTCTTTCATTTAGCAAAGATCCTAGGTATTTGAATTGATTTACTTTTTCAAAAGTCTGGTTTCTAATTTTAATTGCTTCATCTTTTTGTTCTTCTCTTATCATGGTCATGTATTTTGTTTTTTGATTGTTAACTTCCAGCCCTGCTTGTAGAGATGCGTCTTTTATTCAATAAAGGATTTTGATATGTCTTTAATTAAATCAACAAAAAACTCTTAACTTGTTCTAATTTGAATTCCTGATGAGAATATATCTAATCATCATTTTTGATAAAGCAATACACTGTACCGTATAATGCCATATAAATTTAATCTAAATAAAAGAAACACTTAGGGCACTCATATATATATATTTTTATAAACACACTTGGGGAGAGGTCGAGTGTTTAGATAAGAAGTTTTTGGAGAGTGGGGAGGTCTTGACATATAAGTATGTATGGTGGAATAATTATAACTGCCCTAAAATTATAGCTTAACACATATACCAGTCACAATTTTAACAAAACAACAATACGGTAATCACAAAAATGTTTTAAGTCCTAGGCTATATAATATAAGCCCAACTACGTGCTATGTGTTTACATCACTAGTAGGCTATAATCTTATTTTGTGCCGTTTTGCTTTATTTCATCTAAGACTAAGGAGGAAAATAAAGTTTACTTTTAAAACTTAATAGCGCACTTCTTTCTAATTGATTTTCTATTGTTTATTATGAACTTTTTTTTTCTTTCCCAGGCTGTGTACCAGTATCAATTGATAGCCATCCTTAATCATAAATTTAAAGTATTGAAGTGCAATTTTGTTAGAATGAAGAATGAACCAATTTTATGCTTTTCAATGAAGTGTTAACAAAGAAGTTTCTTGTTATTGTAACTTTAAAAAATTTCAATACATGCTATTGTGATAAATAAATTACTGTTTTGTCTTTGATAATTTAATCATGTTCGCAAACGTGTGTAACTTAATATTTATATAATATAGAGTGAAGAAATAATCGTGTTTTGTTTTCTAAGTAGGTACCGGGTACCATTATAAAACTAATGTACAAAGTTTAAACTCAATCAAGGGTCTGCGACCTATTTAAGTGAGGAACATTTTCAATAAATTATACTGAACCTACTAAGAAAATAATTTAGAAGGCACAGGGGTTTTGTGTAAAATTTTATTAAAGAATGCTGTATCTCTTGCTTCAAAGAGCCACACAGGTCTCCAGAGCCACATGTTGAATGTTGCAGACCACTGCACTAGATTCATTAGTTATATAAACCGGTATGATTCAATCCAATCCTTTTATCATTTGTTCTAAATCATCAATATGTTACTTTGTAACAAATGTTGGTATCAGTGTTTCTTTCAGGCATCTTTCCATGGGCGAAATGTGTACAACAATATTTCAATATAAGAATAATATATTTACTAAATTGTCATTTTTAAACTTATACTACAGATTTAAAAAGAATGTTAACTGATACCTTTAACTTTGCTTAACGATTACAATTAATTGAATCTATGAAATATCAATAACACACCCCCACCTCCACAGCTCAATATATTTGATGATTCATATGTTTAAGCATGGGCGCCCGCAGAAAACTTTCTAGGGGGGGGGGGCAAAAAAATCGATTAACTTTCCAGGGGGGGGGGGGGGGAAACTTTTTTT